GGAGGGAGGGTGGGTTATGCCATGTGTCTGAGCTGGCGTCCCCCCAGAGTTCAGTACAGAATAGGTTTCATTCTCCTTGAAGACTGGCTCCCAGCTGCTGGGGAATGATAGTAACTGAAAGATAAGAATGGAGATAGTGTATCTGCTGATGGGAGAGGGGTGGTCAGAAATGGATAGATGAAATCCTTGAAATAGCTGAATGTATTCTTAAGCAGGGGTGTTTACAGGGAGGTGATGTTAGGCGAGCACTCCTAGGTTAATTCCAGCACGAAAGGTTAACTGGAAGAGACAGTCAGCAGAATGGCAGAAGTGGCCTCCTCTCACTAAGAGTGAAAACCCCTGTTGCTAACATGATTTGAAATATTCTCCATCCTCTGCTGCTGAGGAAGACAGCTACCATTGTTTGGAGACACATGTCCTTTGGAAAGGCATTTTTTTGTTCCCTACTTTTGGCTGTTTTTATGTAGTGCAAATCATGTATTGCTAGAGTAGAACTGAAAACAGTTGCTTCATTCTTCAGGAAGATTCACAGACAATAGTAATGAAAAAGAGCTATAAACTCAGAAAACAAAACTGTATTCTCTAATCCTGCCCCTCTGCTCCTTAGACTGGCATTTATTTCAAGTTGGTTGTGTGACTGATAGAGACGTATAGGCCTAGTGAAATGTGTCTAAAGCATAAGTGGATTTCTTTACTATTTCATATAATACCCCTTTTATCATCTGCAGCATTTGGATGCTTTGCTGAGAGAGGTAAAGGACATTGTGACCAAACACTCTGACATGTCTGTCCTTGAGGCTTCCTCCAGGACTTATTACGTCCTCTGCAGTGAAGAAATTGCCATCTATAGCCAGGTGGATCATGCCCGAACTCAACTAATAGATGAGTTGATGGGACAGCTCAACCAGCTACTAGATAGCTTCTGGCAAAAGGTGAGTGTTGACTCAATGTGGAGATAAACAGGCTGCTTCTTAGTGAAAAAAATTAAGGGAGATAGGGAACTATTCTTTGCCTGCTGTTTCTGCTTGAGGAGCACAGAGCTTTCAAAGATGGGTTTGGGCATCTGAGAAGACTGGCTGTTTACATTTTAATGGAGCAGATATATTTTGGCAGAAATAGAGTGGGGAAGAGAATAAAAGAGGTAGTCCACACCAGCAACAGGGCATTTTGTGTCTTCTGAGTATTCTGCACCATAGCTCCATAGTTCCTCCATTACTGTGCCATAGATACTGTATGCAAGTTCAGCTAATAAGTGCTGTGGATCTAGAGGTGATGAGACTGTTCCCAAAAAGGTACAGTTCTGTACTTCTACATGTTTGACTGCACACAAGGTATTCTTTACACTGCTGTTTTGGCTGTAGAGATGGTACTAGGAAAAAAAAAGCAAACCAGCAATCTGTAATACAGATTATATAGCTATGGGATCTTTGAAATGACTTTCCCCTTGAAGGAGGACCGCAGTCTCCCTCAAAGTTTTTCATTAGCTCTAAAAAGCAGAAGCAGCTGGTGGTGATATGAATAGCTTGTTGGCTGAACTGAACAACAGAAGCCTGCAGCTGATCTGATCAACTGTGCCATCATGAACAGGTGTCATGCCATGGGATGGGAGTTAGCACTGGCAAGTTCTTATTGGATACTGGGATATTGTAAAATGTGTCAAGCCAAAAAATCCCCTAACCTCAGATTGGATTTATTTTGTTGATCTTAAATAGCTATCCATGTCAATGTGGGAGAATGTGTACTTATGAGAAACAAGATAAGTGCTAGACCAGGGATTCTTCAACTCCTTCCTAGTGAGATCCACATCTAAATAAAGAGATTTTCTCCTGGAACCCCTCCCTTCTAATTCCTGGTTGTATTTACCGTCTCCCATAATCACGGAGTAGACTTGTGGAAACTACAGCAATTGCATCTATGGGAAAGTATTTCATATATTTTTAGCTATCTTTGAATGTGATCTGGCAGCTGGAAGGAAGGAGAGTCAGCACCATCTGAACAGTTAGAGATCCTTAACAACTGTGTGAGGGACCATGAATGGCCTCTGAGTCTGAGGGTTAGCTCTTCTGTGTTAGTCTAATTGCTAGTTTTCACTCTGTGTTAGCATTACTGGAGTCCAGGGAGGCTGCTCTGGGTTTGTTACCGACAAAACTTCTGTGCAGTCAGCTTGTTGTTTTCGTTTTACTGTAAAGGAATGAGTAGCATGGTTAAAGGTGAAGGGATTGGGGAGGGCTGGAGGAGAGTAACTCAAGCTTGTGGGCTGGTTGGGAAGAGAACCTGACAGTCCCTGTGCCACCCACTGGCTAATTCCTTTCTCATTCCCAAACTTTCATAATTTAGGAAGAAGGATTTTGTACGGATGCAGGTGAAATTTCCCGGATGCACTCTGCTTTGAGAAGAGCAGCAGCTTTTCATAAGTGAGATGTTTATTTACACAACTTATTTTCCCATATACTTAAGTATTGACCTGACAGGTGCAAAGTGAGAATTGGTCTTATTTGATGGATTTAATAGATTTTTCACAAGAGAATGAAAATGATCCCTATGAGAGGTGCTGCAAGGATTAGTTTCTGAATAGAACTGTACTCTTGGATATGCATTTTTTTTTTAACTCATTAACTGAGGTTGGAGCATCAGCCCTAATGTGGCTGAGAAGTGTGTGCTACAGAGTTGGAGTACAGATCCTCTTTGTGGTGCTTCCCTCCTAGCTGGATGCTTTTGCACTGCCTTATTGTCAACACTGGTGGTCCGTCTGAAGAGGTGACAGTGAATGCAGTCTATTTTTTTCCCAGCAGATATAATATGCTTTGTTTATTTTAGCTTTATTTGACCTCCTTTTGTTAAAAGAGGGATTTCTCAAAAGCTGGACCAGAGATTATTCAAGTAAATTATGCAAGATAGAGAGTAGGGGAATTGGGCCTTCTCAATGTGTCTTCTACCTATCCTGCATGCTAGGGCTGCTCTGTTTTTGCAAAGAGAAGCCTAATGTTGAGTTGTGAACACTCAAAAGTATTAGAAACAGTTTTTGAAAGCAAGGTGGGGAAATTAATCTTTAGACCTTTTGGGGCACTTGGAGAGTGTGGATAGAGTGTAGGGAAGGGTACAGAGCTCAAACTTCTCTATCTTCTCATGACACTGCAGTTTTGTGGTAGGAATGCAGACATAAAGCTATGGATTAAAGGTTGTAGCGTTAGATCATAAAAACCTTAATTATGTTTTTCCCCCCCTTAATAATTAGTTATTTAACATTACTGCTGTAGGATGAAGGCAAAAATAGGTTTGGTCAGGTGAGATTTCATTTCTTGCTAAGTGCGTCATTCTTGTTTCTTTTTCACTTGCAGTGCCCATGATCTCACCAAGTGGAATCTGTATGACAAGACTCTAAGGTTGCTGGTGTTTGAAGTGGAACATGGAAATTTGCCTATTCTGGTGAGCTGTTAATATTTAGAATTGAAGGAGATTTTTCTTGTTGAAAGCAGGAAAATTAGGAATTACTAAATAATCCTATATATCAGTGTTCTGTGAGACAGGAAGATACTGTTTCCACTTCTCAGTCGGGGAAACTGAGGCTGTCTTTGGTATAATGTTACTTGAATTCATAAATTCATGCCATAGATTTGTTTATTTTGGAGGTTATCCAAAACTGATAATACCTGACATCTGGCTTGGTCCTTTGCAGTGCTCAGTACTTCCCATTGATTGCACAGTTTTAGTCTCCATACATATGAAATTGTTGGGACTGTGAGGAGCCCTTTATAGATGGCATGTGACCAGCAGCTGGAATACTTTGGACCTGTTGCTTGCAGATTGACTCTGTGGGTGAAGATGGTTTGTAATTACTGCTTGTCTCAGCTGCAGCCTTTTGGTTGTCTGGTTGCCTCAACTCAAACATTGGCTGTACTGAAATGGAGATGTATACCCTGGAATTCCCAGATGAAGTACTCTGGCAGTCATGGATATTAATCAGCCCCTGTTTTCAGGAGAAAAATAGGTTATTTGGGAAGGGGTGAAATTGAGCTGAGCATAGAAAACCTGGAGCCAGTGGATAGAGGTGGACTCCTTTAGGAGGAGCATTGGAGCACCAAGATTAGGCTCTGCTCTGAATTGCCCTCTGACAGAGTCTGCTTTTCACCAAAGACTGCAGAGAGATCCTGAGAAGCTGAGCTAAAGTTAGCATCTGTGAACACCCTTTTTAGGACGTGTTTACTTTCCATGGAACTCATCAAGACATCAAGAGTTCTGCAGAAGCAGCACCTTAGTAATGAAGTTCCTTAGGAGGCAACATTTGCCTGTATATAAACCTATTAAGTTTATTTTGAGGCTCTAAATACTTTACAGTGCAGAAATGGTCATGCAGGCAGCATGCAGAATGTCAGGCTTGGGTGCTTTGTTTAGTCCTAAGCTTTTTGCTGTTGAGCCTTTCATGTAAACAAAGAACATGTATTTATATTTGCAGATGATCCTGCCAGCTCTCCAGTGCACATATTTTTCTCTCCTGTGGCAACTAGCTGCAGTTTCAGAAAATTCTCCCAAGGTTGGTTGCTCAACTTAATTTTGAAACCCAGGGTTGTGCTTCTAGAAGTTTAAGTTGCTTTTCTGTTCTCAGATTACAAAAAAAAAAACCAAGCTTTCTAAGAAGATAATTTGTGTGTTTTCTTGAGGAAACCAAATTGCCCTCTTCTTTTAGGAAGTGTTTATGCTTTTTCATATTCTCTGCAAGAGAATAATGAACAATGGTACACCTCTATTTTTACTGCAAACCATGTGCATTGAATTCCTGGGGCTTGAGAGAAGTAAGGATAACTTGTTCCACTGCCAGCTTGTTGTTTTCTTGTTTTAAGCAGCAAAGAATATTCAGTGAAAACCTCAGGAAGTCCTGTTGCTTTGTTTTTTTTTGTTTTCCATATATGTTTCTGGCAGAAAGGTTGAGTAAAGTGGTAATTTTCTGATCAGCTGACTATTTACTTTCGTAATGGGTTTTATAAAGTGCCAAGCTCTGGCAGGTATTTCAGAAGAAAGTCTAGTTTAAGACACCGGAGAAGAAAACTCTTATGCTTTGGTTCACCCGTGCCCGTGTGGCTCTTTTTGTGCTGGCTCTGACTAGGATGAGTGCTGCTGGCTCTGTCCCTGTCGCCTTGCCCCGTGCTGCTGTGTGCTGCGCAGGACACCGGCAGGACGCTGGCGTGAGCCCTAGCTGGGAGCTCCCTCAGGATCAGATCCTGTCCCTGCCCTTCCTGCCTGGGCGTCTGCTTCTCCCCGCTCCGGCGTGTTCTGCCTTGCGGCCCGGGCAGCGTTAGCGCGACTGCCAGCGGGGCAGCACGTGTTCTCATTTGCCCTCAGGTGGGAGCAGGTCTGCATTGGAGGCACCATGTTACGGCCCACTCTGCAGGGCCAAATCTGGGTGCTGGCAGAGAGGCAAGTTCCAAGAGCAATAAAGAACGTTTCCTGCACGGCAGCTCTGGAGTTGTTTCTTCCCTGGTCCCTCCTCCCCAGCAGTGCTAAGGCAGTGCTTTGCCTCCCCCTCTGCTGCTCCTCAGCATGCCCTGGGCATGCCTTTTCTTATAAAGCTACAATTGCCTAGCGTGAAATCCAGCCCACCTGTAAGGGCATTCCTCCTCTGTGGACTGCTCAAAGCTCAGCAGCTGGGACCAGGAGAAGGATCAGAAAGTCTTTTATGTGGCTGTGGGCAAATCAAATAGTCTCTCGTGCTGGATTCATCTTAACAAATCAGAGGTGTCTCAGTTTCTGAGTGCCCAAGTTAGCAGCGTAGTTAAACTGCGTTCCCTCTGTAATCAATAGAGGGAGGGAGAAGAGCAACTCCAGAAGGCAATTCACTGAAAATTGGGGGGATGGACCAGAGTTGTTCAAACTCTAGTTCCATCTCTAGAGTGGAAATCATTGTCATTGCTTTATAAGGAGAAGCTGAAATGAATAAGTGAATAATGGACTGCATGCTATTAGAGCTGCCCGTCCTACAGATGGAGTAACAAAGAGTCTGTGACTTGCTGAATACCACAAGTCTCAGCAAGTGTGACAGAATCACATAGCCTACTAGTATTTGTCACATTTCTACACCAGAGTGTAGGGGGGAAGTATATATATTTGTGGATTGATCTTTGTATCCCAGATACTGAATCTGAAACCAGTCATGGTTTTAAACTTGTTCATATCTAGCAAGCTGTCGCTACTGTGAGATGTCAGCTTCCTCCATAACATCAGCTGTGCTATCTTAAATTAATAGTATCAGTGGAAGAAAGATGTAACTGTTGTTTGTTCTGTAATTCTCCATTGAATTATAGTCCCTAACATATCTGTCCTGTCACTTTTCATAAACATGTTTTTAGGAGACACTTTTTGCACTAAGAAAAGAGCTGAGACGTTTCAGTCAGATTTGCATGTGCTTCCTCCACCATAAGGAAAAAGATGTAAGAGAAAAGGTTGGTGTTTCTCCATCATTTCACTGGTCTTCATGCTCAGTCCTCCTTCTAAATGCCTGCCTTTCTTTTCATACTAGTATTTTCTTCTACTATGTTTGCTATTTTTTGTCTCTTAGCAGAGAAATAACTTTTAAAAGTCCCAATCTTCAACTAATTATTTTAAAGAAAACTAAAGTTATGTTAGTTAAAATGCTACAAACGTGCGTGCTTTAATCAAGCATAGGTATATGACTGCATCTGCAGAATCAAGGCCTGAATCTGAATGACTCATTTTGATAATTGTCGTGGTGTCCTGGTTACTATCTTTGCTTTATTAAAGCCTTGCTATGAGTATTACTTAAAAAAAAAGAAAAGGAGAAATTGTCCAGTGAGTCACATGTTAAGAGAGACAAATTCTAGCACAATAGAGTTGTTCTTCCTTTCCATGGAAGTTTGAAATCTTTTGGTGGTGGTCTTGCATGATACTTGTATATGCTGTATCCTAAGGTACAAGTTCTGGAAGGGCTTAGCTGTGGCATTTTACCACATGTTGGGGCAAACAGAAATCGTTAGCTTGCAAGGAAGAAGCTAGGTTGTGACTTTTGATGTTTGATGGAGATGCAAAGTGGAGCTGGCGTGAAAAGTAAGATGGTCTCTAAATCCTTTGGCTTTGTTTGCTTGATACAGGCCTTCATGATACTCTGTGACTGGTTGCTGATTTTGAGTCATCAGGATTCAAATAATAACGAAGAAGCAGTTGGACTTCTAGATTATCTTCCTAGCACATCACTTCAGGAAAAACTGCTTTTTTTTATCCAGGAGCATGTTTTTATGGAGGAAGAAGAGGAAGGCAAAGGTTAGACATCTTCATCACTGGAGAAACTTGCTGTCATTTGTCTAATTAACCCATGTTTCAGAGACTTAGTATGTTCTTAATGATACAAAATTACTTTTTTCTTTTACTCCTGTTGATAACCACTTGGAGAGTTTAATATGAACTCTTCTTGACTGTGTGTGGCAACTTTTTGTAGGGCTTCTGATGAGTTACGTGCTGTGTTTTCTAGCATCCTTACTAGGGGAAAAAAAAAGTGGTTGCCGTTTGATCTCTTCCATCTATTGTGTTTGTGCCTTTTATTGTGCACTCTCGTTCTCTTCTGTGGCTGTGAGCAGTGTTGTACAAGGAGATTCTGAGTAGCAGAAATGTGAAAGCCATGAAGATCAGAGTAGAAGACTGGAAATAACTTCTTTTCACTGTCATCAGCTGCAAGCTTTGAAATGGAAACAAACCTGTGTTTTCTGGCATACGCGGGAATGAACATAGCATCTGTTGCTTACTCTGTTGACTGAACAGTCGAGTCTGTGCTATGGGGATGAAAGCTGGTCATTAAAATGGAGGTAGCTCGAGTAAAGTAATAGAACAAAGCTTTGATGCTTTTGTTTCCCTAGACCTGACAGAAGAGGAGGAGAGAAAGGATGAAAGTTGCAAACTTGATGACTTGTACAACAAGCGGAATCTACTTGCAGCCTATTGCAAGTTAATAGTGTGTAATGTGGTAGAGATGACTGCAGCTGCTGAGATCTATAAGTATTATGTGAAGGTAATGTTTTAGATAAGGTTGCTTTGCCTGTCAGTGAATTTTGGTTTTTGAAAATGACTCCAATGTTTGTGAAAGGTATAAGATTAATAGTCTTATGACTTGGAATCCCTGTACAATCACAAAAGTGCTATAAAATCAAGCAGGAGTGGGACAAATCTCTCCTCTTTGCTTGGGAAAGGCACCTCACTGCAGGCAAAGGAAGTGAAAATTGAGTAGAGGGTATGTCTTTCTGAACATCTGCTCCTTGGTTTCTCCAGAGAGGCCGTTGCAGAGAAGCAGTTTATGACTGGGAGACTGTTTTAACTGCAGAGATTCTCACACAGAAATGGTTAGCTTACTTTATAGAGCTCACACAGCCTGTATGCAGATGGCCTACATGTCACACGGTAATTGGTAGAGCTTCAGCTACTCTGAAGTGGGTTCCAGGAGGGCCAAGAACAGCACATAGTGGGCAGTTTCCTTGAAATGACCACCAGGACTTTGGAAATACCTGGATATGGATTTTGTTCTTTACTTCACTGGCCCCAAGGCAAGCATGGGTTAAATACAGAAAACTCTCCATTTCTCTCCTGAGGAGGCTTTGTTCTTTTGTAATAATAAAGACTCAACTATGTCAATGTAACTTTAATCCTCACATTACTCTTAAAGGAGGATACCATTGCTTTACATATAAAATAATACAAAAAATACAGTTTACAACTTTTAGCTTGGGTGTTTTGATACCAGGAGTCTTTTGTGAACTTCTTGTGTCACATGAACACAGTCATGTTTTGCATACTCCCAGTGCTAAAGAAGGAGAATTATAATTCTTTCTTTTGTTGCTGTTAATAGACCTACAATGATTTTGGAGACATAATTAAAGAAACTTTAAACAAGACAAGGCAGAATAATAAAATTCAGAGTGCCAAGACACTGATCCTCTGTCTGCAGCAGGTAAGGTTAACATGAAAGCAAGAGGCTAAGGGCTTTTCAAACAGCTGTGTTCATATTTTTTACCTACCATGCCATAAGTATTTAAATTCATTAAAAAAACTTAGTGGAAAAAGATTTTTCCCTGCCTATACTTTCTATATGTATGTTGGTTTGGCATGTCATAACTGAAACTCCTTTCAAAGCATTTAATTTGTTTTAAAATACAGTTTTGTTCACGATTTTTTTGGTCTTGTTTTTAATCTTCAAATGCATGGTGTATTAGGACTGATGTGAGATTGCTGAGTGTTACTTGGGACATGGTAGATGTCAACCTTAACAAAGGTTAAGGATATTATTCTGTGTTTTATTGACTAGCTCAATTCCTATTGAATTTGAGGAACCACGAATGTGTCTGTGGCTGGCCAGCACTAATCCTGGGTATTTTCAGTGTTTTTTTTTTGGAAGAAAGTTGGTCGCAGCTCTTCTGAAGGGTCTCAGTTGCTGGGGCTTGCAGCTGCTGACCACTGAGGCCAGTTAGGTATTTTAGCAGCTGCTTTTGCCTGCTCTGCCCATGACCAGAGCTGTGCCTAGCTTGGAGTCTCGCTGTAAACCGCAGGGCAGGCTCCTCCCAGGGGCTGCAGATACATGAACTTTGCTTATTTCACAGGCATTGCCAGGGGCTTAGATCCGTGAACTAGCTCCTGAAATCTGAGCTTAGATGAGGCCAAGCAGCATTTGGCTACATGTATTCTGCTGACATAGTCAGGACTTTGTGTTTAGGTATCACATAGACAACAGGCCCTTTTTGGCCTTTGCTTGACCTTGACAGTTAACAGGTTGAAGAGAACAAGCTACCTCTGTGTTCTGTTAAGAAAAAAACACAAAACATAGTTAACTGGGCTCAAGATGTGCTTTTCACCCAGTCTTACTCTCAGAAGGGGAATGATGCTGCTGCCAAACTTGCTGCTTTATATCTACATTCTGATATTCTGAAAGTCTCTCAGGCAAATTAAGCCTCTGTGGCTTGACTCAGAAGTCCCAAAAGGAGATGGGGTCAGTGGAGCCATCATGTTCAGGAATCAGTTCTCTTTATGCATCAGTTTATGCACCTCGTTTTTTACTATTTCAATTTGTGCCCATCTGTTAAGCATAGCAGTGTCCTTTTGGGTCAGTTTCTTGTTGTTGTTCCAGTCCTGTGCTTCTGAAGCACTTGGCCTACCTGCTTTTTTTTGTGAGGCTTCTGTCTGTGTAAGCTAACCGTCGCTTGCTGTGCATGTCTCTGTGTCCTCCTGGTGCTTTGCTTGCCCATAGGATTCTATATGTTGCTTATCTGAGACTTCTTTTGCAGCTGTTTCAGACACATGCAGAAAGCCAAGACAGCAGTAGCAGTGTGGATTTCTCCTCTGCTTCCTTCATAAATATGAAAGAACTTGCTCGTCGCCTTTCACTGACATTTGGCTGGGACCAACTGAAATCTAGAGAATCTGTAGCCATGATACACAAGTATGTGCCACGTGACATCATTTTGTCCATGGTCTTTGCTTTTGTTAGCTGTCTGTTCTATTACTCTGCTCTGTTGTTGATTTGTTTGGTTGGTTGTTTTTTTTTTCTTTTCTTCAAATAGGGAGGGGATTGAATTTGCTTTTCAAGGAGCTACTGGATTAGATGGAAAAAGCTTGCCTCCTAACTTGAGCTTTCTGTTAATCATCAGTGAATTTTCCAACAAGCTGCTAAAGCCAGACAAAAGACTAGTGTAAGTTAAGTTCTTGTACACTGTCCTACTCCGTTTCTGTTTTTTTGTATCCCTGTAGGTAAGACACTTCACCTTCATTGTTGCAGAAGTTGCTCAAGGGCTTTTCAGAGAAACTTTGAAATCAATCTGCCCCTGAGACTCTTAGTTTGAGACACTTGTTGAATTTTGTAATAGAAGTCATTTCAGATTGTATGTGCAGGATGCTTTCTAGACTTTTGTAAGAGATATTTGGGCCCACATATGGCAGTTCTTCTATATGGCAGTTCTTCTAAAGGAAGGACAGTGTTAATTTGGTGGAAGAGAGTTGCATCTGGACTGGCTAGTGGAGTGGCAGGATTGCTTTTTTGAACAGAAAAGTAAAGCAGAAAAGATTGAGGAAGTGATAGTGCCCGGATCATTGTTTTGTAAAATAATGATCTAATTCCACAGCTTCTGGACTCACATGAGTTCCACCAAGCTATTTGTGATGTGGATATTTAAACTGAAGAATTTACTATTTACAGGGGAGTATGCCCTGATCCTGCTGGACTCCTGTTCTACAGTGGTTTAAATGGTTACACTTAGTAATATAAGAATGATGCATCTGAATAGAGAGATGTACGATTAGATGTATGATTATATGTCTTATTCCCTTCTTCACCTGCCTCAGCTCCAGTCATTTTTGAGAAGGAAGTAATGTTCTTCCTTCTATTTGACCTTTGTCATTATCTCTCTAGTCAGTGCTGCCTATTTTGGATCTGTATCACTGCACTTCACTCTCCTGTTCACAGACACTGTAAAAACTACTGAAAAATATATTTAGCAGGTTATTTCAGTTTTCCTGAGAGCATATTTGAAGCCATGTGAATGTAAGATGCAATGTGAAGACACATCTACCTATTGGAATTTCTGAGAAAATCACTCCAGTATCTAACAAGAAAAGTTCCACTTTGGAGAAGTTGGTGGAAATGGAAAAAAACAAAACAACCATCACATCTTACTGAGCCCTGTGTAACTTGCTTGCTCTGGTGCTACTTTGTCCTAAATTGGAGGTTGACTTCCACAGGGGCCATCAACCACTTTTTATATAATGAGGGTTAAGTGTTAAAATGTCTGCTTTCCTGTTACTTTACATGACAAACACAACTTATTAATGATTGCCACCTACCCAGTGTGTTCTAAAGATCAGTTCAAGCCCAAAATGCAAAATACAGAAGAAAAATAATTTGACATATACTGATTACAAACCCTGGAAAATCTAAAGAGGATAATCTATGGCTAGTGCCCTTTCTATTCGTGCATCCTTGAAAAACTTTGTACTTTCTTTTACCTCCAGGAGGTATTTTTAAATTATTTAATTAGTTTATTATTTAATTATTAAATAATTTTTTATTACTCATTGAAAACTTTTATAAGAAATACAGAACCTAGTAGGGAATGCACCTTGACTTCAGTTCTTACTGCTTTGGACCTTCCCACTGCTGCTGGGAACAAATGGGAAACAATAAAATTCACAAGGGGGTAACTGTGCTTTTATCCACAACTGCTTACAGACTGTGTTTCTAGAGTAACAGCTTCTATTCTGGGAGGCCTAAAATGCCTTGCAGGGGCTGGAGATTGTATTTCCTCTTAGAAATATTTAGGTTTAGCTCCATCATAAATTACTGGATGGAATGTTTTAGGTCAACATGAACTTTTAGAAATAAACATCTGGTTATTTTCATTTGTTTTATTAATCATAGGATTGATGTCCAGGTCTGTATGTTAACATATGTGAATGTACCTGTAACAGATGAGATACAGAATATGGGCATTTGTTAGAAAGGAGTATATTTCAACACCATCAAAGTGTATGGATTTTAACCTCCTCCCCTGTAATTGCCCAGGCTCTAGCAGTAAAATATCTGACTTGTCAGTTGCTCTGTGCCACTAAATGCACACAAGAGATGAATTATTGAATAACAAGCAGCATGAAGGGCCTGATTCCTGAATCAGTAGGAGCCTTTCCATTGACATTGATGCAGTTGGATTAGACCCTAAAACAGTAGTTACAATACATGCTTGTTTGAAACCAACAAATTCCATTACCAGGGTTTCTTGATCCCTGAGGCCCCCAGAGTGCAGGTCTCTAATTGTTTCGGAGTCGATGCTTACCCTGACCTCCTCCCAGCACTGGTTTTCTGGTTTTGGAAAGTGAATGAAATGCCTGATATTTCCCAGGCCACACTTCTAATCAAAGAAAGAATAATACTGTACTGGCTGGCATTAAAACTGTCACTTCTGGCATTTGCCAAGGTGAGGTTTGTTTTAACAACACTGGGCTTGCTTTTAAAGTGACGAGCTGTAGCTGAAATGTAGTGAATATCCAGTTTCTAATCCTGAGTCAGACTTCTGCTTTCTTATTGTTGTGAAGCAAGAACAGGTCAGAAAGACTTGGTCAAAAGCTCCCTGCTTTTCCAAAAGAATGTGTGATGGACACCTCTTTGCTCCAGAAGAGGTGATGGCTTTGCCTGGGATTCAGGGAAGCCTGATGTCAAGTCCTTGGTCTGAATCAGGCAGATCAGGGGTTTGGACCAATGTTTTCCACATCCTATGTGTTGTCATGACTGCAGAGCCACTAACTGCTTTGTGCAGACACTTCAAATTTTATTGGGAACCTGAGAGAATTGGATCGAGTTTCAGATGATAATTTAGAAAAGTGGCTTTATTGGTTGTTCTTGTTTTTAATTTTGATAAAACAGGCACTCGTGGTGTAAGTAGCCCATTTCCTGACCTACTGCAGTGTTGAATCACAAAGAGCATCTCTCGTCTGGGATCTCCTCTGCACTACAGTCTGTGAGGCAGACAGGGGCCATCAGGAGAAGGGCTGCACCCTTGTAGAGCTCTGCTCTGTTCAGACAGCTCCTGGCAGCAGCAAGTGGCAGTGACTTTGTGCACAGGAAGTTCTTTCTGGAGACTGATGTCATCCTGTAATTCCTGTGCATCTAGTGTTGTTTCTAAAGCTAAAATTCAAGCACTTTTAGCTGTGAAGGCGTTTACAGTTTTACTCTAAGGTATTTCAGAGATGTTGGGTATTTCTGAGAAAAAGGTTGCTCGCTCTTGTTCTTCAGCAGGGCTGCCTGTCCCTTTGGAGGGCAAAGGGAAAACGCCTTCCTGGCCACACCTGCCCAGACACTGAGGGGAGGGTGCTGGGTTTCCTGACGCTGCCTTTTGGTCCCCTCCAGGTACACGTACCTGCAGAGGTACATAGCAGAGCCGCTGCCTGGCGGAGGAGAAGAGTGGCAGCCCTTGGTTTGGTACAGAAACTCTTTGTTGGCAAGCGAAGATGAGGAGAGCTCTGTCCTCTGCGGCTCAGGAGAGTGCACATCTAAGATGTCTGCTTTTAAAAGGAAATTGTCTAATGGTATGAACATTTCTCTGTTCTGGATCAGCTGTATTTGCTTTGTCTCGGCTAAAATGCGCTTCATGCTTTGCATCAGCAGTACCACTGTGCTGGATGTTGTGGGCTTTGCCTTCAGTTTTGGTGGTGTTAAAGGCCTCCTCGTCAGCCAGCAGCAGTAAGCTTGGTCTGGAGACTTCAACTGAGCTGAATTCAGATAATCTTTTATTCTGCTTGGTACTGAGTTGTGGCATTTCTGCCATTGAGACTGGGTTCATTGCTTTCAATTGCTAAGTTAAGGGCGTTGTTTCTTTAGGCCCTGGTGATAATTGACACAGGAGAGAGACTTCCAGCAGTTGATTCAGATCTTCAGCCCTGATTGTCTGGGCCAAATCATCTGCTATCTTTCTCCGTTGAATTTCTAGGGAACCTGTAAGATTATAGTCCTAAATTAAAGAGTTACTGTTACGTGGTCTGCATCCAGGCTTCAGCAGCTCTCAGGGACTTTCAGTCTGTAATGAGGTGTTCACTTCACAGATATGGTGGGTTTTAGTTCAATGGAGGAAAATTGTCAGTAAAAATGCTGAGTGCTGTGGTCACCTGCAGTTGTATGTGGAGGAAAGGGTTTTTTTCCAGAGTCCTTTAGTTTCTATCTCATTCTTTCTTATAGACTTTATTTTCAGTGGCTTGCCTTCAGGGACCTTGCTCCTTTGTGTCCCAAAGGCCCTCCTTTCTTGAGGGTTATACAGACTCAGCACTTGTAAGCACATAAGTGATAGTGCTTATGGACCAGGGCCAAGATCATAAATCTAGATTGCAAAAATGACCAGCGGGCAGATTAAATGGATTTTCTTTTGTGTAGCTTTTAGCTGTCTCCTTCAATAAATGAATGCCCTGCTCCAAATCTCCCTCTGAGCTTGGCCCCATTGCTTCACTGCTGTGGGCAACATGTCCTTCTCAAGAGCACTGAGGCTGAAGAGGGAGTCTCTTCACTGTCTGTTACAGGGTCTTTCCCTGAAACCAGCCAGACTGAAGCAGCAAGCAAAGCTCCAGACCTACAGGGTGCTTCCCAGCTTGCCTCTGCAGCAGGAAAAAGCAGAAAGAGGCTGAAGTCTCAGGAGATGCACTTGCAGGAACATTTGCCATTCCCGTGTCCAGGAGGGCTGCGGAGAAGATACTGGTGAGAGTTTTATGTCTCATTGCACTGGTATTGACAGCTGCGGGCTCTCTATCCACCCCTGCTTCTCTTTTTTGTAATACCTGTGCTGGGCAGGGTGTTTACCCCTCCTGTCTTTCTTATGGGCTGTGTCCCAAGGAGAAGGTTGGGTTATTTTTGTTTCCTTATTCTAGTATCTACATTTGCTGATTGTCCCCCACTGTCACAGGGCTTCCATACCTTTTTGGAGTAATATTGAGTGTGCAGAGAAGAAGATAAGGAAGGAGCCAGGTTCCCTGTCCCACTTCTCTTCCCTCTGGTGCTGATTAGAGGGCTGTGGTGTTGGTTGGCCTGGCTATTTGCTGCAGCAGGACGATGAGGGGTTTCTGCATCTCTGGAAGTGAAGTACAATTCTTGTCTCTGCAGATCTGCTATTAACTACTGTGGAACTGGTGACTGTCCTTTAGAGAGGTGCATGTCCTGAGTGAAAGCCCACACAATGGATAGAAGAGAGGTGCTGTAGAAATAGGGAGTCTGGAGTCTGCTTTTGGGCTCTGGAAAGCACTTAAAGTGCTCGGTTGGAATCTTTTCCTTTAATACAGTTAATTTATTGTGGTGTTAGGTGCCATTTTCTGCATTAGTAGGTTAAAAGATGAAACATAAATCCCCAAAAGATCCATGCTTTTCCAAGTTTTGGGACACTTGTTGAATTGACCTGGTGAATGCAAGTAAAATAGAACAAAAAATTATTAAACATAAAGGTTGTCCCTGTTTAAATGAATGCTTTGTTTCTGATATGCTTTGTGGGAAATTCATCGGAGTGTGACCTCTCTCATACCTGGGAAATACTGGCCTGGAAACTTTGGGCTACCTTATGTGGATATCTCAGCAGCAGATCTGCGTATGTGTACTCTGCCTCAAGTGCACTTGCACAATGTGCTGCCTTTGTTGTAAAGTTTCTCAAATTGGTTTGGTTTGGTTTTGTTTTCCAGCAAAGATGAGATTAAGACAGAAGCTGTCTCAGAGGAGGGTCCATCAGAAGACACAGCTGAGGATGTCGATGTGGTTGGTGCAGAGCAGGTAATTTTGGCTTGGGTTTTCCAGCTCTGAGGACAGCTGTAGTCGTGGTGGGTGAACGGGAGTTGAGGCGCTGAGAGGAGGATCAGGTTCCTTTTCTCCACGTACCGTGAAGCTTCTCGGTGAAGAGCCACTTGCTGCGGTTGCTTCCTGCGGGTGACAGGCAGCAGAGGTGGCACTGCTGCATGGCTGCAGGGACTGTCTCCTTCAGGCCTGGTGTTTGCATCGTGTCCTGGAGATTGAAGGACACAGACTGTGTCTGAGCAGCTGCTCAGCCCAGGGCTTTTGCTGGAGTGTCCCTTGTTTCTCACCCTTTGCCAGTCAAGGCCACTGGGGAGATTAAATTGTCCCCAAACCAGCTGGAGGTTTGAAGGGAAGCATACAAACATTGTGAGCTTGCAGTAGCAGCCAGCACAGCCTGGGGGTTGTCTTGTGGGCACTGATTTGTCTTTGGGATCAAGTAAAAGTTTGCAAAACTGCAAACTGGGTCTTTCAGTCCTTAGGGTCAGTGTAGTGCAAAGACTCAAATAGGGTGTTGTACACCAGGGGTCTTGCAGCAGTGACCACACTGAGAAGGAGGAAGAAACCCAGGAGGCATGAGGTTTCCTGTGCTGCAGCTGATCACAGCCCTCCAAGGGTTTAACCTCTAAGAGTTTGCTGTGTCAGAGGATTGATTGAGCAGTTCCTTCAGGCTTTTCTGCTGTATTTCTCCCTCCTCTCTGAAATTGTAGCATAATGTAAACTGTGTTTGGCAGACAGGTTTTTTGCAGTGAGTCAGGCAACCCCTGCAATTCCATTGGCTCTGCTCTATCCCAGGCACCCTGAGAGCAACCCTACGGAGAGCGACATGTGGGTGCTGTGGGGTGAGACCCTGAGTGTGAAGCAGCAGCATGTGCTCCTGGCCTGGAGAGCCAGCCGTGTCAGGGGCTGCTGGGGGTGCTCCTTCCATGGAAACATTCAGGACCAAGCTGGAGGGGACTCTGAGCAATCCAGTCTAGTGGGAGGTGTCCCTGCCCGTGGCGGGGACATAGAAACCATTCTATGACTCTATGATCTTGGATCTAACAGCCACATCCAAAGACCTTGTATGAATTTTGACTTTTAAGATGAGTTTTTCCCTTAAAGTTGAAGAAGTTATTTCTTTTCAGACTTGTGTGGTGGTCTTGGTTTTTGGGTGTTGGGTTTGGTGTTTTGTTTTGTTTTAAGAGGACTAGAAGGAAAAAGTTACGTCTACTTTTTCTAGTCACGTGCCTGTTAAAGTGTAGACTGTTTGGACGGTGTGCATGGGGCAGTTCCTGTTGAAGACAGTAAAAGAATTTAAATCCATGGGCCAAGATCAAAGCCATACAGAAAATGCACTGATTGATTACCTAATGTGTGGCCTTTCCCTGTAGTGCATTTTCTGGGCTCCTTGTAGTATAGAAATGTTCTTTTCTTTTTTTTGGCAGCTAAATACAGCGTTTTCCCAGAGCCATCTATGGCCAAGCTGCTAGATGGCTAGATGCTACACTCTTATTCTGATTCTTTGTGTGCACTTACATGACATTTTTTTTTATCATGAGACTGACTTTATTGTTTTTTTCTCTTCTGCTATAGGACGTCTAAGATGATGAGAGGATAAATGGAAATGAAGAACACGAGTGTGTTTTTTTTTTTTCCTGCAAACTGTTCAACTGCAAAGGGGGTTGTGGTGACATCAACCAAAGCAGCAGGAGATAATGTATCCAGTCCAATCTCTGCCTGTAGGCATCCACCCTGAACCAGTTTCTAGGACTGCAGCTGATTTCTCCACATTGCTGGTGGTGGGCATTACTGAGCTGGCTGTTGTGCTTCTGAGGCTGTGGGCATTATGAACTTCATTACTCAGCTGCATCCTGGTCCTTGATGCCATCTTGGAAACATTCTCAACCTAAGGCTTGGAGTCAGGGTGTTGAGTGACCAGTAGCGTTCTGCTGGAGGTATTCCGTGCCATTTGAGATAACCAAGATGGATATCTATGTGGTCCAGCTGTGAACAGTGGGCCCTGCTGGGTGGTGGCAAGTGACTTGGCAGTGCCATTTCCTGCTGGAAAAGCAGAAAACCTGGATCAAATTGAAAGTATTCCTGAATGCCAGCGCCTAGAGATGCGGGCAGTGGCCTGTGGGGACCAGGACGTTCCCAGGAGGCTTGCAGCACAGCTTCCAAATAACACAAAAAGGAAGAGCAGACTGCCTGTTTTCCTCTGGAAGAAATTCTTCATGCACAGTGGTCGTGTGGTATTTACTTGGAAAATGTAAATAGACTGTAAATATGGCCCTTCAAAAGTAATTATTCAAATTAAGAATTTGCAAATGATCTTCACTCAAGAGCATTTGAGCGGCAGGAGGCTGAGGAGTGCTGGCTGCTTTCGCTGACCCTTTGTCACTGCTCCAGGGAATTGTACATTGGCATTAATCCCTTCAGCTTTTTTCTTTTTTAATATATATATATTGGATTGTAACTGTGTAAAATAAACTACAGAACTATTGTTATACGTTGGTACTAAAAGTGCAAGTGATTTTCCCCCAGGAAGACTGGAGAAAGGAGTGCTGCTCTGCCTTCTCCTTTGCCCTGCTCCCCAGTAGCCTGAGAAGTGATCTCCAGAGGATATGGAAGTGGAAGCCGTGAATGTCTCCCAGGTATCGGGTGTCCTGCAGCAGCAACAGTAAACCCAGGATGTTCCATTTTGCATAGATGAGTATGTGGGGAGAGAGGTAGGACACAAGATGCCAACTCTCTCCCAGATTAACTTGTTCTCCCTGTGACTCAGTCACAGCCTAGACCTGGACTGTGACTTTGTTTCCCTCATCCAGCTCCATTTGTGGATCTAGGCCTAAGCACCTACCAGGTAGGCAGAACACAGCTGGATTAAAAACAAAGAGGTACACCTTGGCCCACATCAAACATGCAGATGCTGCAATTCCTGTAACGAAGGGCTAGGGCTGACAGTTATCTTTAGGGGGAGGTGCAATACCACAAGAAAAGCACTTCCACAGTAACACCACAATTTGCTCTACTAGATCTGTGCAAATCCTTTAGGAGAAAAGGGACTTGGTTACCCCAAGTGTAGGAGAGCAGGTTTTACCCAACACTGTTAAACAGTAAGTGGCAACAGGAGATGCAGGTTCTGCAGAAGAGCTTTACTCTGCACCACAGCTCTGTTCAGTGGAGCAGTGACAACTGTGAGGAGAAAGCTCTTTCCTGTACAGTGCCCATTTCCAAGCTTTTTTCTAAGGGGGGCAGTATCCAGCTTGAAGTGCTCGAGGTAGGGAAAAGCAGCAAGCCACCACCTCTTAAACAACGAATAGAAATGCAGGATCATCTTCTAGTAAGACAGACAGTTGGCTCATGCTCTCCTACAGCACCTTGGGGAACAGAGCTTAACATAAGTGCTCTGTGTGCCTCTGTGTGGTGCCTGACCAACAGCAGAGAAATTTTGACATTGATGAGTTCCCTCCCATTGAAGTTGGAATAATCAATCTACCCTGATTTTATTTTCAAGAATCTTTTGAATGGTATTAAAATGACCTGGGTTTTCCTTGGCAAGGTTCCCCAGCAGGCATTAGTGATGATTTCATGACTTAGGATACACAGGTTTGTGAGTCTCTCCATGAGGGGGTATGAGGAGTAGAGTGGAACCACTGGCAGCTGCTTGAGCAGTGCTGGCTTTTGGATAAAGCAAAACGTGCTGGAGCTTGATTGTCCTGACCTGCTGCACTGTTGAATCACAAAGAGCATCTCTTGTCTGGGATCTTCTCTTTGAATATGCAGCTTGCTGTAATTATCCAACCAAAGTGCCCCTCCTTTCTTAAATGGGTCTTTAACAGTAAGAAGTTAATTGTGTGCAGTACATAATAATTAGAACTGTAAAATTCCATGTATGAAAATCTTTATTTGAAAATACAAACATTGTTTTTAAACATTTTAACAGATCTACACTGCAACCAAAAAATAACTTACATCTTTTTGTACATTTTTTTTTCTCTCAACAGAATCTGTTTAACAGTAAGAGTGAGGCAACACTTTCAAGCTGCTGTGACACTGATGAATATCCATGGAATGTGTCAATAGCAAACAACTGAAGGGGGGGACAGACAAAAGCACTGAATGCCCACAAATTAGTGCACATCACTGACCGAGTAACACTTAGACAAAGCATTTAAAAAAAAATTGGTTCCTTCTACATGAATTAATGCACTCATTTTGGATCAAGTATGAACGCTAAAACAGACTGTATCATTAAATAATCTTTTTATAATGAACATGAATGAAAAGACTGAAGTTTAAAAGGGCAAGCAAAATTAAAGCTAGGGCAAACAAGGACTACACAGAGAAGAGAAGCAACTTGTCTCAGGCATTTGCTTCCCTTGTGCACTAATACACTCAGCTTGTCAAACGAAACTGCTTGTTAATGAGAGCTGAGTCACGCACTCACAGTCCTGTCTCTTCCTCACCAAGGCATAAAAACCCCATAAAGCCCCTGGGGCTGTCTGTGGACAGGTGAGCCCTGCAGGCCAGGTGTACCTGGTCTCCTCACCTCCC